GCTCTGTCACAATATACTTATCCTTCCTTTGAAGGAGAACTATGACTGCATACCACCAATTGTCAGATGTATTTTTAAGCTTGTACCAGTATAACGTTTATTAAATGTAAGAAAACTGTACAAGTTATAATTTAACAAAATTCAAAATAGTAATTTTTACCTCTGAGGAGGAGAGGAGACACATACAAAAGTCTGTGAAGCACTAGTAAGGCTCCATTTCTTAGATTGAGTGGTATTTGGGTATTTATTTTATAATTGCTCATTAAAATGTTTTACATATCTTGAAAGTATTATATGATACCTCAATAAAATGAATGAAATAAAAATTATCAAGAAACATCCTCGTGAAGGTTCAGAAAACTAGAGAAACAAAAAGCATAAATGTGTTTAAGAAAAAGTGGGTCATGTTAAAATTAAATACACGATTTTTCATGTATTACTTAATAGATTAATAAACCTAGAACACAGCCTTCAGTTTTCTTAGTAGAGATGTTTTATATGAAAACTCTCAATTGAATGTAATGCAGAATAAAGGTTCTCCCATCTAGTATTAAATACTTCAGAACTGTCACTTTCTATTCACTTTTTAAAGAAGTCACTATATTCATATTAAGGAAATCCTGGGATATAAGGAGCAATGGATCCCACACACTAGAATAGTTCTATCTTAACCCAGCTTTCCTTCTGTAAAGTATACTTAGACAGTAGTCCAAATTAAAACAGGAAGCATGGGGGTTTTAAAAAGAAGACTAGCGGATATGAAAACTGAGGTCTTGAGATATTTGAAAATATAGAAAACTACAGAAGCTAATCAATAGGAGGAGACTCTATTCTAACTAGACTCTAGAAACATTTTTCTTTGAATGGCATAAAAATTGTTGTACTATGTTTGTCAAAAACCAAAGTATTCTCTGATATGTATAGCATATAAGTCACATGCACATATATGTCTATATACACATATATATACATCACTACTATTGAGTTTATTCCAACACATAGGGACTCTGTGTAGGGTTTAAAAAGCTGTAAATCGTTATGGGAGCAGATAGCTTCAACCTTCTTCCTTGGTGTGGTTGACAGGTTTGAGCCGCTGACCTTATGGTTAGCAGTCCAAAGCTTACCCGACCGAGTATTTATATGTTGTTAACATTCAGCTTCAACCTACATAAAAATAAACAACCGAATAAAGCATAAATATTTCTCTATATTGTTAATATTACAGAGAAAGGAGAAAATAATGAATCAAGGGTGGGCTACTCCTTTCTATAGCATATATAGCCCTATCGAGTAGAAGGGTCTAATCTCAGGTCTGCAACTTAAAGCCAAGAGATGTTTTACATACAAAAATGAATGAAATAAAAATTATCAAGAAACACCCTTCTGAATGTTCAGAAACTTAAAGAGACAAAAAACATAAAAGTGCCTAAGAAAAACTGAGTCATGTTAAAATTAGATACAGGCTTTCTCATCAGCTGTGTTACTTGAAAGATGGATGCACCTTGATGAGGCGGCCTGCTCCCAGCAGCCTGCGTAGAGTCACTATGCATTGGGATTGACACTATGGCGGTGAGTCTGGTTGTGCTTGGCTGGCATGTAATGGTGGGTAACAGTAGTCTAGGGGTTTTACATATATCAAATGTATTAATCCTCACGATCATATGATTTAAGACTATAAGTGTAGTATCACCATTTTCCTGAGGTATAGCAAGGGTATATTCCTAAACTGGAAACATTGAAAATGAGGTAGAAAAGCTCATTCATAAACATTTAAAATTGCTACAGAGCTTACCATTCTCTCAATCTGATGACTCCTTTCGATAAACTCTCTTGAGGTTTTCCTTGCATAGTTTTCTTTGTATTTGATGTTTGTGACTTTAAAAGAGGCAAGGTAATAGAATGACCTATCGTCTGGAAGAGAAAATAAAGGAAAGATTCATGGTTAAATATAATCGGTACCTTGGCCCTCACATTGCCAACATGCCTTACTATATGTAGTTTTAAATTATTTAGAACAAAAATATAATGAACATAAAATGGAAAATAGAGAACTCAGAATATTTCATTTAGAGATAACAAAATTGGCATAAAATTGGACATGTCATATATAATGGAAAGTAAGTACAAAAAGCAATTGCCCACATGAGATATCACTCCAGACTCAGTGATATAGCTATGGTTTAAAACAAACAAACAAATAAAACTCTCAGAAAACAACAAGTGGATGTGTTGAAGCCCTCACTCCTTGCTGGTAATATTATAAAATAGTAAAGATATTGCCATAAAATAGTGTGCTGTTCCTCAAATAGATAAATGTAAAATTATATAATCCCCAAATTCCACTTGTAGGTATGCAACCAAAATGGTTGAAACCAGAATTACAAAGACAGTGATATAGTCTTACGATGGAGCAAACCAAAATTTAACATCAATAAAAGTTAAATTATTAAAAATATATATTACTATCATGTGAATGTAATTCTTTGATTTAGATGGCGGGGAATTTAAAGATAGTAAGCCATGGATTCCTGAGCCAGTATACATATGGACACTTACCCTCAACCACGAAATGCGTGACTATACCAATTGCAATTCCTATGATTGCTGCAATTATCAATGTGAAAATCGCTAGCCTTATAGGATCCCAAAACTGCTGTCTTCTTTGATATTCAACCTGTGGGTATTCAGGTTCTGAAAGTTCAAGCGGTCTGTGGAATAGAAAGGAATGAACTGTTGTTAGGTTGCTGGTAGGTTCTGTTAAGTCTGTTCGACTCGTAGCAACCCTGAGCACCACAGAACGAACACCAGGCACTCCGGCACTGTCCTACGCCTCGTCTCTACGCTCACTTCAGGAATTCCTTTCAGAAAACAGTTTGTAACATTTTTTTGACAGTGGAATACTTAGATCTTAAAAAGATCACAAGGTTTTCATTTGCCTCCCTTTTAAAGACCATAATCAGAGTACAAGTTGAAGTTAAGCTTCTACCAATACTGATGTTCAAGTATGGTTATCTTCCCACTATTCTTTGCTTCTGGAGTATTGTTTAACTTGGAAATTAAATGCAGAAACACCAAAGTTCTGTTAATAAAAAGTTAATCTATAAATAGCATTCTCTTGTCATTTAAAGAAGAGAATGCTTACAAAAAAGTAAAATAACAGTCAGTGAGTTATACTTCATTAAGAATTTTAATGAATCCACTTTTTAATATCATTAAACATTTTTAATAGTTTAAGAATAGCAACATTGCATTTTGAAGAACTGCTCTAATTAGTTTGGAATTATTGTTTTTAGTATTCATTTTACTAGCACCTTCCGGTGAAATAATGAAGTACGCATTGAACTTGGTAAGACTGCACCTCCAGTCCTCATGAGTACTTCATTGCCACTTGTCTCCCATGTGCCTCCGCCCCTGCATGCATCGCTTCCCTACCTAAAATACCTTCCATCGTGGAATTTAGCTTTAGCCTTTTCTATCTGAAATTTGACATATATATATTTTTCCTTCTGTAAACATGTTTTGTGCTTTAAATTGTATTTAATAAATATCTATAATAAACTTTGTTTCATTAGATGCATAAAGTTCTTAAAATAGTGCTTAATGCATATTAGCAGTGTTTCATTCACATTTTTATGTCTCTAGGAGTTCTGGTGGCATAGTGGTTATGCACCGGGCTACTAATCACAGGGTCAGCAGTTTGAAACCACCAGCCCATCCGCAGGAGAGTGATGAGGCTTTTACTCCTGTAAAGAGTTCTAATCTCTACCCTATCCTAAAGGGTTGCTGTGAATTAGAATCTACTCATTGGCAGCAAGATTTTGGAAATCCCTAGTGGTTTGGTGAGTTTTGCCTTGAACTGCTAACCAAAGAGTCAGCAGTTCAAAACCACCAGACCTTTCTACTTTTACAGAGTTACCATGTCAGAGACCCACAGGGGCAGTTCTACCCTGTCTCTTGTGGTTGCTTTGAGCCAAAAGTGACTAGATGTTTGGGAGAGGTTTTTTGGTTTTTTGTTTGTTTGAGATCCCTAAAGTATTTTCAATTACCTCACATGCATGTGAAATTTGGACATTAAATAAGGAAAACTAAAAAAAGATTGATGCATTTGAAAATATGTTGATATCATAGAACATTGAATGTACCATGGACAGCAACAAAAATCAAACGAATCTCTCTGGGAGGAAATACAACCAGATGCTCTTTAGAAGTGAGGATAGTGAGACTTCTCACGTACTTTGACATATCAGGAGAGCCCAGTCCCTGGAAAAGCATATCGTGCCTGGTAAAGTAGAAGAACAGCAAGAAAGAGGGAGAGCCTTGGCAAGATGCAATGATTGGCTCAAACACAACAATCATTTTGACGATCGCGAGGGTCTAGACCTTGTTTCTTTCTGTTGTGCATGGGTCACCATGAGATGGAGCTGACTTAACCACACCTATCACTAACAGATCCCTAAAAGCATAAAGACTTTAAGATACAAAATATACCTTGATGGTCACCCTTCAAAAGGGGAAACAGACAGGGGCTGAAGCAATCAATAGAGTCTACAAAGAGTTAAATTAAGTCTGGACATAAAGAAAAAGCAATTTATTTCTGAGGGGGCTGTGAAAAAAATATTTTACCGAGAATGCAAGATGATTAACATTTTGAAGAATGAAAATTCTTCAGGTAGAAAAAAGAGGATAAGAGAAATAGTATGTACAACATATAGACTTTTTAAACAGAATGAATAATAATTAGTGCGAGAAAAAAAAAGGCTAAGGAAAACACGACTTCTGCTCGTAAAGAATGGCCAGTTCACGCCCTGCCAGACTGGGGAAGGATGTGGCTAGACTACTAGAATTCGTGGACTAGGGCCAATTCATCAGGAGTCTCGTAACCCAAGATTAAAGGTTTACAATCTGCCCTGCAGGAGATGGGGAGCCAATGAGAGTTTAATCAGACTGTAATGATCACAGTGGTGTGGTTGAGGTTGAAGATTAAGCAAAAGTGTGGACAAGTAGACTAGGTTAGAGGTCATTGAGAGTTTGTACCTCATTAGGAACCTACAGAAGAGAGATAGTTAGTGCTTGAATATTATGATACTTGAATGGAGAAAAGAAAGTATATCATGTTATTTCAAGTAATTGATTAACTATGGGACAAGCAAAGGATTAAAGCCCCCTTTGATTGTAATTCCATGTAAATGGGGTTCCTTCAGGAAAGCTGATTATTATAACAGAAAGAAAACTTGGTGGAAATAGATACAGACACCAAAGTAGTTGACAGAACAATTTCTTGCCCTTGCACCTATATCTGAGCCAAATGAAGTGTCTTTGAATTATTTTGTTTTGGCTGTAATACAATATCTGGTTGCAGAATTCTAGTACAAGCAACTGGTATGGTTGCAGCCACACACCCAGGACAAACCCCAGAGGGTACTAATGTCTCCAGGTGCATGCCTTTGTCTTCGTCCACAGCTGCCAGCTTCGCCCCCAACTCGATAGCAATAAGAATTCTTGATTAGTTTGTGGAGGTCTTCGTTACGCTTTTTTAGAATTCTCACCTTCTAATAAGGAAGACCAAAGAAGAATGAATGCATTTGAATTAGGGCGCTGACAAAGACTATTAAAAGCACTACGGACTGCCAGACACCGTAACCGACTCGACGGCACCTAGCAACAACCTGTTGTAGGTTCTGTCCGGTTCATTGCCCTTCGATATGCAAAAAAAAAAAAATTCATGAGAATAAAATTTTGTCAAATTTCTGGGATGATAATCAAGTCTTATGTCACAACACTGACTTTCATTATGGACATAGTTAGACAATTAGTTTCTCTTGCTGATTATCAGCTATTTTCTGTCTGATAAAACTGGGTTGGTAACTTCTCTCTCAAGCGATATTTAAAGTAAGTTTACTAAATACTCATTTCTATGTTTTAAAGTGTGTCTTATGCACACACAAGCTAGTTTATAAAATTTGCAAATCTTTATAAGGTACTCTAATTGTGGGAAATAATTTATTTATTTTTCTACAAAACAAAATAAGAGACAATTTAAAAGAAATATTTTGGCCAGGGAGTTATGAAATGCTGTAATGAACTAATAAAATAACAAAAATGTGGTGAAAGCACTTGAGTATAAATACTCTTTAAGAATTTGACTATGGTAAATTAGCTTTGCAAAAGTTATTTTATTTTGTAGACATTTGAAACTCCAAATGGCTTTAAATATTTTTGGTTTTTCCTGATTTGCATGTAACAAGTTCTACATTTAAATCTGAATATATTTTACACATACTTCTTCTTATGACCTGATAATTAATGTGTTTCTATATTGCAACAGAATTATCTTCAGTTCAACACACTCTCACATGTTATTGTTCTTTATAATTTATCAAAATAAGTTTCTGGATTTGTAAAGCAATTAATGAAATACTTCTGATGTCTATAAGCATAAACAGCAAGAATATAAATCTACTGTTTCTTTAATGACAAATACTCTGACTAGTTTGCTGGTTCTACTACCAAACACTAAGCAGAATGAAAACAAAATTCATGGTCCTCGATCTGAAAGTAGAAAACCCAGAATATTTAAAATGAAACCTATACCTTTATTCTAATAACATTCTGAGGTACTCTCATTTACTGGGCCAGTATGGATATCAAATAGCATTATTGTGACATCACATTATTATTGTGAGAATATATAAAACAGCTATTAGTTTTGGAAATGAACCATATTTAAAATCCATTAAAATAAGGGAAATATAAGAACCACAGTATTTTAAAAATTTGAATATAAATAAAATTTGCATGTCTATCATAATGAAATACACATGGAAACAGTATTACAAAGAACATGGAATTGAACATTGTTGTTGTTGTTAGATTCCATCAAGTAGATTCCGACTCATAGCCACCTTATGTACAACAGAATGAAGCACCGCCCAGCCCTGTGCCATTAGCACAGTCTTTCTTATGATCTGGCCCACGGTTGCAGTCACTCTGTCCATCCATCTTTCTGAGATCGTGCCTCTCTTTTGCTGACTCTCTATTTACCAATCATGATGTCCTTCTCTAAGCATTTGTATCTACTGATAACATGTCCAAAGTATGTGCGATGAAGTCCTTTCATCCTTACTTCTAAGGACTATTCTAGTTGCACTTTTTCCAAAATAGATTTGTTTGTTCATTGGACAGTCCATGGTACTTCAAAATTTCTTCACCAGTTCCATAATTCGAGCACACTGATTCTTCTTTAGTCTGTCTTATGCAATGTCCAACTTTTGCACACATATGAGGTGATTGGAAATACCCTGGCTTGCATCAGAGGCATCTTAACCCTCAAAGGAACCTCCCACTTTTCAAGACTTTACAGAGGTCTTGTGCAGCAGATTTACCCCAGGCAATGCATCAGTTGCTCTCTTGACTGCTGCTTCCATGAGCTTTGAATGTAGATTCAAGGAAGACAAACTCCTAGACAACTTCAATCTTTTCTCCTTTTATCATGTTACCTATTGGTCCAGTTGTCAGGACTTTTGTTTACTTTACATGGAGTTGTAATCCACACTGAAGGCTGCAATCCTCAATCTTCATTAGCAAGTGCTACAAGTCCTCTTCAATTTCAGCAAGCAAGGTTTTTCTATCTGAATATTGCAAGTTGTTAAGAAGCCTTCCTCCAATTTGGATACTGCATTCTTCTTCATATAATTCAACTTTTATGATTATTTGCTCACATTAGAAGACCTATATTACAACTGGTTTTGGTTGCCATTGCCCTGTTACCTTTGGCATTTCTCTT